GTTCCAACACATCTGGACAACACCATGTGCAGAAGATTGTATTAAATCCTACTATATGTACAGATCCCAGCTCACCTTGGCACCTCGTAGAAGATGAATTAAGAATCTTGCTTTAATAGTAGCACTGAACTGGGAATGTATTATAATAATAAAGAGAATAGTGCTTGCAAATGTGCTCAGCACTTGTTTCATTCAGTGTTATTATATTATCAGGATGCTCTATACTTTTACCCTTACAAGGCAAAAGCTTAGTCTTTAGCACAAGGACATTTTTTTCAGAAATAACTACTAGGCAGACTTCAACCTTCCTTCTAAAAGGGTACTTTAACGGTATCTTCTGCAATAGTGTGGCAATAAGGCAAGTAAATCTGGATTAACTTCTTTTAATCTGATAATACAAGAACTCTTTGGAAGCCTGATTTATCAGACAGACGGTAAAATGCGCCATCTAACCAGAGAGGAATAACTAAATGTAATTCAGCAGCATGACTGAATACAGAAGATATATGTGTATTTGTGAGCCCTCTAGTGGGCAGAAAAATGTATGGACTTCACTGAGTGTTGCTCCGAGATCATTTCTTCACTAGTGATTTATAACAACTTACTATGTTGGTATAAGAATTGTCCAGATCCCAGCAAGTTTTAACTAGACTCTAGGCTTGTCCTTGGCTGAAGCATGGTTAGAGAAGCATCTTTACCCTATACTAGGAAGAAGCCACTAAAACAGTTGGTGGTTCTTTCTCGACATAAAGGTGCAATTTCCTCTTTATATCCACTGCAGTTTCATTCTTGCGCTTCATTCTTTCACCCCTCCCATGGTTTAACACATTGCCCTGTGCTTCTTAATCTTCATATTGGCTGACGTCTCTGTCTTGACATTTCTGCCCTGAGGGATTCTGGTTCTCAACTTTTAACTACCCTGTGGATGGCAGCATAAGATGCTGTATAAATGTATAAATGTATAAAATGTATAAATGGCAAGGAGCAGCTAAAGCCACTGTGGTGTCCATGTGGGAGGAGGGGTTTAAGAAAATCAAAATGGTGGTTGTGACTGGATGATCAAAGTCCCTTCTCTTTTTTATGTGCACTGCAGCACAACACATGTAAAAAAGAGTAGGGCTTCAACACTGCAGTCACAGTTGCCATCTTGACTTTTTTACCCCCTCTGCAGATGCCGCTATACCCATAGCTAGGAGATCTACCAGCTAGCTAAATAGCTAAACTCTCTCCACCTCAGTTCGTGAACAAGAAGCCAATGGAATAGGAAGCATAGAAGTTGCTGCTTGCCATGTTATATTCGTAAGGTAAAGAAGGAAGATGCCATCATCTCTGAAACAAATTTGCCCATTTTCACTCAGCCTCCCACCCACTGAAACTGGCATAATGCCTTCTCTGCAATTGCATGGGAAGGCATTTTACAGGATCCCTTTTGAAAAAAAAAATCATAATCTAGCTAGATGATTTAGAAGCTTATCACAGCTGATGGTATCAAACTCCACTAAGATGTTTAGGAAACTTTCAGGGTCTTCTCTTAGCTTGCTCTTAGCATGATCATAGTTATGGAAAACATAACTCCATCTAGCCAGCTGCATGATCAAGTTCTATCCTGCACTGGTCTTATAATTTGCAGACCAACAAAGTGCCTACTTACTAAGGATCAGAACCCCCCTAGTTCAGTAAAGCAACTATTTACATCAAAAAGAAACTCTCCCAGCCATAGTAAAAGGATACAATACCTGCAAAATAAACATCAGATCCTGGAGAGTGCCAATGCTACCTGAAGCAGAAAGGACCATTTTTACCTATCAGAAAATATGAAAGATGAGCAGATAACTTTAATCAAGGGTGTTCTGAGGTGTGGGGAAGTGTTTAAAACAAAACAAAAAAAAGTTGGGATTTTGATTGTGTGGTCATGGCTGCCATTTTGACTTTTTGAAACCCCTGCCCTGGACACCTCTGAGCTTAATCCTTCAATTGCTTCTCCTAACGTACTTTTCTAAACCCCCAGTAGATACTCCAGAGGTTAGTTTTCTATAAATCACCATCATATCGTCATCATTATCACCATCAAAACAGCAGCAGCAACAACAAACATAAAACTGAACATTATGTATTTCATATAAATTTTCCTGAAGTATTTGCAGAGAAAGTTTTTGAGGGAAAAGTCTTACACTCACATACAAGTCAGATCCATTAATTTTAAATGGATGAAAGAGCACTGAAGATTTTAAATCTTTGCTTTATCCACAAATACATAAACAATGTAAGTAGAAGCAAAACAGATTTAAGACACGTGAAAAAAGAACCTGGACAGTCCACAAGGTTGCATTTTAACTACTGTACATTTTAAAACCTTCTGCTTTCCCCTTCCAGTTCTCTGGAAACTTCCACACAAGCTTTTCCCACCCATTAAAAATCAGCTCTGAATCACAGCATTTCCATGAAGTTGCTGGTAGCCAAGAGCTGATTAGGGTTTTCATCTGATTCCACACCAGTTTATCTGAACTTGGAGCAAAGCTTTTCTTTCAGCTTTGCAAAACCTGTGAGCAGTTCATTTCCTCATTGACAAGAACTCTTGCCCTCTTTCACTTGCCTCTGAACTTCAGTAACCTCTTCATGGTCTTGTCTGTAAGTATTGTTAGGAATGTATTTCCCCTCTCCTTGAATCATACAAACATATAGGCCATTTCTTCATCCTTCTCTTAATACTGGGATAAGCAAACACTTTAAACTATTAAGTCTGTACTTGTACTCATACTGAGATGAAAGTTCAGCCTCATTGCTTAATTCAGCTACAGCACTGTATTGTAGAGAATATCTGCTGCTTGTAAGTCAGCTCTGAAAGAAAGAATGAGTTGAATTTAAACCACTAGAGTTCTTCATTGTCCACATACTTAGCAACTTGTGATTTGTTGATATCTTTCTACATTACCAACCTCCTATGTTCCAGATGTATTGGATTTAAATCTGAAGTACCCTTACAATTCTAGTGCTGCTCTCCAGATGTGTTGGATTACTATTCCCATCACCCCCCATAAAAGACCATACTATTTGGGAATTATGGAAAGTGTGATCCAACATAAGACTATTGCATCTGAGACGCAAAAATCCTGAAGACCATAGAATCACAGCAAAGAAATACAGAAAACTATCTCTCTGCCATCTCATAGTCATCTGGATTTTTGCGGTCCAGATATGGTGTCCCTTCACCAGCATATCTGAAAAGTAGCAAGTTGGAAAGGCTGTTTTATAATGGTTATAGAGCACCACAATGGTTATTGACAACTACATAAATGTTTATCACTCAAATGTTGCATAACCCATCTGTTTAAAAAGTAACGTGTTGGAACCTATAGAACTACATATTGCAGTGACTTTAGGGCAACTTGTTTCATTTACTTTTTCCTTTTAGTTTATCTCCAATTTTATCTTTAGAACAATATTGCTTAATTATATTTCCATTAAAAATGATATTAAAGCATCTTATTTTATTTCCTATATCTTAACTTTTTTATTCTTGCTTTTACAGCATGATAGTTAAGGAAACAGTCTCTTTGAAGCCTTCTGTACCACCAAGCCATCTCTTTCCATTTCCATTACATTTGGTTCAAAATGCTTACACCAGCTGGTAAGTTTTGTCCATGTTGCTTCTAAGTTGACCATTATATGAAAAACATACACACAGAAATCCTAGACCTAACCCTAACCCTAACCCCAGTGCATATCTGAACTTGTGCTGGTCATGAACAAACAGAAGCTCTTCATTCAATCTTCATAAAAATAAAATAAAATAATCTGCTAAATTTCCTAGTGTTTCCCACTCAGAGCCATGCATTTATATACATGTCCATATTTTACAAACCATGGTTGGTTTGTAAAAAAAAAAAAAAAAATCAAATTCTGGGATTGAGAATGAGGAACCCCAGTAAATTATAAGCTTTAGCCCCTAGATGCAACAGTAGTATGACCCATGAAGGTAAATCTGGTCTTCGAATGACCAGCATAAAACTTTCTGAATGGTTACAAGCATACATACAGGTATGCTCCTAATTGATAACCAACTTGGCAGTATAGCACTGCTTGCTTTACTGGAGTCCTTCTGAGCAGCAGTAAACAATGTATAGATAACAGGGCAGTTCCATGAATATAACAAAAGATGCTTAATTGTTATAGGAGGAGATAGAGAGGAAACTGAATAAGGATACTATTTCCTCTCCAGATGCCTGGATTTCTAAAGGATATGAAATGCTTAAGATGAGCACAGGTACCAGGAGGCAGAGGTGTAGTGAAAAATCCCTTCCATGAAAAACAGCCCAACTCCATGGATGGCAGAAATACTGTACAGTCTAGGCTCCCCATACTATAACAATGCCAGTGATGTTAAGCATTTCAACGGGAAAAATGGGGTTGTCTTTGTTAGTGGAAATGATGGGAGAGGGAGGCACATAAAACAAGTTGCATCCAGAATGGCTTTTGCTTCATCAAAATTGCCCATGGAGGACCATTTGCTTGTCCAGTTAATAAGAGTTGTCTAGAAATTCTCTTTATTGTTTATGATGATATTCTCAGAATGGGGTTAGAGGAGCAGTCACACATCACACTTTTTATCCTTACATATGAAGACTGGGCTTGTTCAGGAAACTCATATTTAATTAATGCAACCCTTTCTCTGAATAATGACGACATTATCACCTATATAGGATGTTCTACTTGGTTAATAACCTCATCAAATATTTTTTACTCAGCAACCCAACCTACCTACCCATATCTCTCTCACACAGATAAATCCAACCATGAAAACCTAAGTCAGGTATCCTCTCATCTCTTTTGCTTTCCACCTCATTAGCCAAGTTAGTCTTCATACTAAAAATGAAAAAGAAAATAACTTTGAAGGTCTTACTTGGGGGTGTTCCTGTTTCACACTGTGTAAAAGAATACCCTTTAGAGGGTGAAACCAACAACCACTTCCTTTCCATCCTCACTCTATATATATTCTATACTTTGATGTGGAGAAACACAAAACAGCAATGATGGTTCTTCTATTGGGCTTGTGGTTCTCTGTTGCGATTTTTCTCCTTGGCATTCCCAGAGGTAGGTGCTAAATTATATTACTTTTTTTGTTCTTTCCTTCTAATTTATGATGCCACTTCAGAACAATCAATGAAAGGATAAGCAGACCTATGCTGTTTGTTTCAAATATATGGATTTCTCATTGAATTTGAACAGTGAAGAAGAGAAAATTGCTCAGGTTTCCTCCAGACTGAACTTATACTGGTAGCAGAAGGCTTGCAGGAGAAATTCAAAGCCACAGCTGTCAAGAAGATGGTTTTATTACAGATACTAGAAAAGAGATTAGTAATGAAGAAAAGCAACTATTGTAAACTCTAAGATTCAGTATGAATCTTACAGCTGAAAAGTAATTATTGCATTAAAGCTAACTATTACTGAGCACAATAGAAAGGTCTAGTAATATACACATTTTTATATGCTTCGAGGTATGTAACTATTCTTCTCCAATCTATAAAAATACTCCTCCAACCTGGTGTCCTCCAGATGTAATTTCTAAAATGTCAAGCTAAGCATGCCAAAGCAGGAGTGCTGCAATCTAAAGGTGAGAAATTTGTTAATAACTGCAGAAAAACAGGATTGCTTTAATCAGTTGGTGATACTCCACAATAGTACAAACTGTGAGCACTTTTTATGATTTAAACATTCATATGTTGGGTTGGCTACTTTTTCCTCTTCTACTTACGGATTAACTTAAAGTTGTATGTTGTGACTCACTGAGATTAGCTTGGTCTCGTCATTCTGTTTAGATCACTGTACCCAAATCGTTGGAGGAAACGAATCAATTCCACATTCAAGACCTTTTATGGCCAAGATCAAAGGAAAAACTCTTTGTGGGGGAACCCTGATCAAACCAAACTGGGTATTAACAGCAGCTCACTGCGAAGTGTAAGTTTGGAGAGTTTGGTTAGTTTTTTGTTGCTTTATTTCTTTTTTAATTTTGTTTTATTTCTATAGCTGATTTCTGCCCAGCGTAACCTATCCCTGCAATTTAGGGACAAGCAACCCTTAAATTTCAACCGATGCAGAAATTCTCAATTGGGTAGCATCTTTCAGGTAAATTGTTCACTGATCCCAGCTTCTTGACATAAATTCTAGGGCTGGGATTGAAGCAAAAAAATCCGATCTATTTTTGTATGTGTGTGTGTGTGTATTAGGATTTTTCAATACAGTAAAAGTATACCAAAAAAAAAAGAAAGAAAGAAAGAAAGAAAGAAAGAAAGAAAGAAAGAAAGAAAGAGAAAAAAAGAAAAGAAAAGGAATGAAAAGAGAAGAAAACATACAGTTATGCCTTCTGTCTGCCCTTCTTTCTATCGAGTAATTATCACCCTATTCTTTTCCCCATCCTCTTTGACCCTTTTTAATCCCCAAATCCACATTAATTTGATCTTTTCTTCTTTCAACAAAAACCCATATAAGGTTTCCAGACTTTCAAAAAAAATCTTTGGGTTTTTTTGTTTGTTTGCTTGTTTTTCGTGACCAGGCTGGTCAGCTTTGCCATTTCTGCAAGTTCAATTAATTTTATAATTCAATTTTCCACTGTAGATATTTCATTACTTTTCCAACATTTTGCATACAATAATCTTGCTATAGTTATCATATACAATATTGGTTTCCCATATTTCTTTTCTAATTCTACATCCATAAAACCCAATAGGAATCATTCTGCCTTCATCACAAAAATACCCAGTCTAGATGGACTTGGCTCTGGCCAGATGCAGGGCCAGAATCCACAGTAGGGAGAAGGCTGGATTAACCAAAACTCTGGGCAAAATGGTGCTGACATACTTATTAGCTAGAAATTGGAATCAACTTTCATGTAAGACATTAGAAAATTTGTCTGTTCTCTCACAAGCCCTCTTCCCAATATTTGTTTTCCATGTAGATCTAAGCATGAAATTAATAGCACATGCCTTCCAGCACGTTATTATTGTTGCTGTTGTGAAAATTGCATATAATTTGAGCTCTCTTTGTATTTCAACCATCAGAACACCCATTTATATGTGTGAATGTCTGTATGTTGTAGTTCATTACTGAACTTAGTCAAAAATAGGCCATTGAAAGCATCTTGCATCTCCTATCAAAAATATACTTCCCTGTTGAAATAATAGTCCAATAAAAATTGATGTAAATGATATATTATGACTGAATATACCTAAGCCTGCAATTCCCAAATCCTAAATTTATGTGTCAGGAAATAAACCATGTTAAATCCAGTAGGATTTACTTCCGAACAAACACAGAAGATTGAACTGCCAGATGATAAAATTTAATATTGTTCAGCTGAGATTATACCAGTATTGTACTTGCTAAAAATGAAGTTTACTCCATTCTTACTTATCCTCTTTCCTTTTTAGGACACCAAGCACTCAAGTTATTCTTGGAATTCATTCAGAAAAAGACAAAACAAAACAATTTTTTAAGGTTATTAAGCACATTCCTCACCCATGCTATGATAATGACAAAAAGGAGAATGACATTATGCTTCTTCAGGTATATTCTAAAGAAGATATATATATATAGCAAGTATAAATGTGAAGGACAGCAAGAATGGTTTCTCCTTTTCTTTATGTGTATTCAGGAACTTGTGGCAGCTACACTCTTATAGAAAGCAGTGTACAAGGAATTTAGCTCTAGCCTTGAGAAGGGAGGGGAGAAGGAGGAACAGTTGTTCAATCATGTTTTTGACTTGGCCTACCACAAAGGGGTGACAAGCAGCCCATAAGAGGAGCATGACTGTTGGGTCCAGTTGCCTGGCATGGGGACCATCACTGGTAATGGCATCAATGGAATAAAAAATATTTCTCCCACTTGGGTGATGGAAACATTCTTTTCCCTGTAATTCCAGAGATGGAGAACAGGGTGAAGGAATTGTTAAGCCTCCTGACAGCTATATAAATGATCAGCAGGTATGAAATTGTACATATTGAAGAAATTCAAAGTATTATTGTTGTTATTATTCCTATTATAGTTCATCTTTCCTGCAAGGGACTCAAATGGTATAAATGTTCCTTCTCAGACCATTGTGTCTGCACAACACTGTATTGTAGGTCAGGCTGAGATAAGGGGACTCTCCAAGGTCCAAGTCCAACATGTGAATTGTTACACACCATATTGACTGTTAATGTAACGATTAATCTCTTTCGCCTTCCCTCTTGTCCCTTTGAAGCTTAATAAACGAGCAAAACGTAACAAGAATGTTAACTTCATCAAGTTGCCTCAAGTGTACAATGACCTCAAGGCAGGAACACCATGTCTTGTAGCTGGTTGGGGGATCACTCAGAGTGGAACAAAGACACCATCAGATGTACTCCGTGAAGTTAATGTCTCTGTCATTGAAAGAAGCATCTGCAATGATAAAAGTCACTATAATCGTCAGCCTCTAGTGACAATGAATATGGTCTGTGCTGGTGACAAGAAAGGGGGCAAGGATTCATGTTCTGTAAGTATATTTATCTACCTGCCCTGAATTTTTGAAGCTCAAAAATAGTATATGGAAGGCAGAATTTGAGAGGATTAGTAATAATACTTGCATAATTTTAGAGTGTTCTGAGAAATCAAAGCTCTGTATTATAACAATGATAAAATTAGTAAAATCTTCCAGTCATAAGGTCAATTGCAAAAAGCATCCGGAATTATATACCCTTCCAGACTGGCAGCATTTTGGCATACAATGATAGTCTTTTAACAAAAAGTGTTTCTTCATGGAGCACTTGGGGGGCACTAGCAAAGAGAATGTCAATTTGTCAGAACACTGGTCTGAACTACAGCTGGCACTTTGCCTGCCTAAATGAGGCTATGTCCTCTACAAGTTCAGAATTCACACTCATAGAATAGATTGTGTCTTCACACAGCTAAATATATTTAGTCATTTCTCCACCAAGAAAGGGGGTGACTGGCAGTGGTGGGAGTGAGCACACACACACACCCATCTCCTCTCCATTTCTCCTTGGAAAAAGTCTTGGAAGATATCCATTTTGGCTTTAACCTATGTTCTGGCTTAGTGAAATATGCAGGGAGGACTAGCATACATTTACAGTCCGAAATAAATTTTTTTTCTGCACAGTGCCATTTTAGATTGGTTTATTTGTCTATTCCTTAGATTTCTACCCACCTTCCTTTCAGATCAAGGTGATACATAGCACTCCTTCCTCCTATCTTTTTCCACACCAATAACTCTGTGAGATAGGTTTGGCCGAGAGAGAGAGAGAGAGAGAGTGTCCCAAAATCATCCAGTTATGGGTGCCTGCAGAGAGTCAAAAAAGTCAAGATGGTGGCCACAACCACACAATCAATGTCCTGCCCTTTTTTTACATGCATCACTCAGTGAGCTGCAGCAGGGCACAGGGCTGACTCTGTAGGCAGGATCTCACAGATTTCTCCCCTTCTCTTGAAATCATGTGCCTGGGAATACACCATTTCAGACTGGGAAAAGATAGCTGTGTGCTTGACTGCTCACCTGAATAAAAGTCCATGCACATCAAGAGAACTGTAGAGGTTAACATTAAATCACAGCCAGGGTTGAAACCCTGTGTATATTTACTGCCTATATAAGAACATGGGACTTGGTTTTTAACAAAGAAGGATTTTCTGTTAGAAAATCAGTATGTAGCTGGCAGTGATGCTGTATTTTTCAAAATTGCCCCTTTCAAAATTTGTTTGGGTACCACTTACTGACAGGCAAATACATTTTTGAAATAAAGTTTTTCTTCCTTCTTAATAGCTATGTACCAATCTCCAAAAATCCCTTTGTGAATTGGTTTTTATTTTTAATTTTTCTCTGCATGCTTTCCAAATAAAACAAAATGTAAAATTTCATCAGTGCCACCCATTAGTATCCCAACATTTGTTGTCCCCCAATTAGGCTTTTTCACTCCAAAATTTCTGCAGAAGAGCATAATTTTTACTGACTTCCTGAATGTCACTAAATTGGAGGCCATTCTAGCCTGGGGGGTGGGAGGACCAAGCTATTCCAGAGGGAGGGGACTCCTACTGAGAAAGCATCCTCTGGCCCCCCAGTCTCCTGGATGTGGGCACCTGCAGGACCCCCTCCCAGCCAGTCCAAACTGGGCAGGTAGATTTTACCTGAAGTATACAGTCCCAAAGATAACTAAGGCCCAAGCTCTTTTGGGCTTTATAGGCAACAACAAGCCTCTTGAACTGGATCAGAAGCCTGCTAGCACCCAATGCAGCTCCCACAGAGGAGATGTGACTGTGTTTGACTAAGCTGGTTAGCACAAGTCAGCAAGCAGGCCAATCATTTTCAGGGCAGCCCCATGTAGAACAAATCGTAGTAGTGTAACCAGGAGATGACAGCTGCACGAATCCTTCATTATGTTATGATTGTGATTGGCCCTTAAAAGAGAAACATACAACTGCTGCAAATAATACAAAACCTCTCTCCCCCCCCCTTCCCCCCTTTTCCTCCTTTGTGCAGGGTGATTCTGGTGGTCCTCTGATATGCAATGGGGTACAAAGAGCCATCGTTTCCTTTGGCAAAGGATGTGGCAATCCCCGGTATCCTGGTGTCTACACACTTCTCACAGATAAATACATCCGCTGGATAAAGAGCATTATAGGGGGCAGTTTATAAAATTATCGCTTGATTTTGAAATGCTTTTTAATGATATTCATTCATTCATTATGATTTCTTTAAAGCAACCTTTTCCAGCCTGTTGTCCTCCAGATACATCTGACTACAGTCTCACCATCCCCAGCTAGCACAACCATTCAACCTGCTGGCTAACAATGATTGAGACCTCAGATGAATTCATAGTCAGCTTTGGTATTTAGGCTTTCTCTCTAAATGCAGTCTTGTAACAAAGATGTTCTTCCTGTATAAAAGCTAAGCACCAGTCTCCAGGAATCCTTTTGTGAATTGCTTTATTATTTTTATTTTCTCTCTGCACACTTACTCTGCTAAATAAAGCTATTTCCATATTTATCACTAATAAAACGGTAGTTTATTTCCAGGAAGCACAAGAAAATAAACCCTTGTTGCAAACCATTTTGTTACTGTTTTGTTGTTGTTCATCTCTGCTATGTATTCCATCTTTGCTTGTGGCAAATGTCAGCCTTTGTATTTGGAAGAATCAGTTTCTGTGCTGGGAATGGCTTCAGTTCTTGAATGCCATTCTGTGGGGTGGCCTGAAATAATTGGACTTCTCTTATAATTGGAGGTGCTTTGGAATTGCAAAATTCCCAGCTATACACACATGAGCTCTTATCATTTGAGACTTCATATGAATCTATGCATCACTTTTATGAGTGGAAATGTGAGAGTCATTAAGCATTGGAACCACATTCTTCATTGCTGGAAGTTTTCAAAGAAAGGTCTGAGATGATATGAGGCAGGGGGTTGACTACAAAACTTCCAGGATCCCTTCCAATCCTATGATTCTATATAGCAACAATAAATCTATGGTAGCTGATCAGTAAGGCATGACCTGTTGTTGCATGGTAAACGTACCACAGGGGAAGTGAAGAGACACCAAGCCAACAAGCTCAATCTTTTCATGCACTGCTTGGAATGAAGAGGTCAAGATATGATATTGACTTTTCTTAAGCATTTTGGGAAGAATAAGAATAGAGAGCTATATACACTTGCTCCAGTATATATGCAGAGAGAACCAAGTGTTCACAATGAACTTGATGGGACTTGCACTCCAGTAACAAATAGGGTGAGAAGGAAGGGTTAACAATTTTGGCTCATCTAGTCAGAGGACTGGATCCTGAATAAGTGGACTGGAAATCTTCTGAGCTGACAGAAATCAGATTGTACCACCAAAATAATATGAATACACACTGCAAGTTAAAAAACAACAATGCCTAGTATCAGAGAGCAGACTTGACTAGAACCTTTCATAATGTATCTATTTGTTTGCAAGATTCTCTATGGAGCATTTAAAATAGTAGCACCCAACACTGATAAATGGTGCAACCCATTTACCTACTTCAGTTTTTATCATTTTCCAAAGTTGCTGGCCCTCAAAAGAACAGAACAGAACAAGGCAGAGATCCAATTATCCCACAGAGAGAGTAGAACCACCTGGCTTTTTCCTTCTTCCCCTTGAAACTCAGCCCAACCAGTACCTGGCTTACCCTCATCTTGGGATCAGCATCAGGCCAACCTTATCACAGTAGGGAATGCATTTTAATATCCATTTAAAAGCATTATAAATTCAGTTAGAGCATCCATGGCTATAACTGAAACAAAATGAGTAGGACTCTTCTGTTCTTAGACAATATTTCTTTGCTGTGGGTATAGTTGTCATCAAAGCAATTTCATTTTGAATTGAAACCACAAAGGAAGCCCAGGTGTCAATGTTGTGCTCTAGGGATCATTGTGACATCACTGAGCAACAGAAATTCCTCTAACACACAGTTCTTTAATTCAGAAGTTCTCCAAAGCATCCACTATTAGCGGAAGAAGAATTAAATATGGAAGTCCATATATAGAGAATGGGGTAATATTGGAAATATGTAGTTTATGCAGGGGGATGTACGTCCTAGGAGATCCCAGCTCATCAAAACCTTTTGATGAACTGGATCAACACTTAAAGAAGCGATTTAAAAGATTTTTAACAGAGGCTGATGGGAATCAAACATATATTAACTGGAATTAAAAGCATGGTTATTTTGACTAATTTGTTGCATTCGCAAAGACTTTATTGCAATATCTTTTGATAATGCATGTATGATTTACACTACCCTTGTGACTGGAAACAGTGCCTTATGAAACACATGCTTAACGCTCTATATAGCAAGGGCAACATCATTGCCCTTTGAAATCGTGAAGCACCTCATATACTTCTGCTCATAAGCTGAAGCAGAAAGTAACTTCTTTCCTGGCTCAATTCCACATGTGAACTGCTCCCTCTGAAACCATGTTTTGAAATGAATGAATGTGTGTGTGTGTGTGTGTGTGTGTGTATACACCAATATTCAATATCTGACCTTTTAACCACAGATTAGAGATGCCTTAGCAAATGGGTTTAGAGGGTGCAAACAGATGTTGCATTCAACTCACCTCTGATCTGCCACATCTTATCAAGATAAGGTTTATTGGCCACCTGAGGCTACTCTGGACATGCCTCCACCCAGTCCCTGGCAACTGATTTTTCTGGGCCACTTGCCTTTCGGCAGAGGGAGAGTCAAAGCTCTCCCACAGGGTCCAAAAGCCACCGGTTTCCATAAATATCATCATCCATTCTTTCTACATATGCAGCTATATCACACATTCAGCATTCCCCTTCCAAACCTAATACTTCTCTGTGATCTTTGGCTATCAACATCACCCTAATTTCTATTTGTGATGCTGCACTGAAGATTTTCCCTAAATATTCCTTTCCTGCCTTTGTCTCTTTCTCTCTTACATTATGAATAAATGTTATTGTGGCTTTTTTCCACATATGTATCTTTACAAGCACAACATAAACAACAGTAGCATAGGAGACTACTTGTGAGAAGGAAATCCTCCTCCCTACCATGAAGTCTTCCCACCATAATCAAAGCAAAAGGTGAGAAACTACCATTAGAATGGACGAAATACATAGATTAAAATGTGAGAGATGCAAGCTAATAGCAATCCTTCCTAGCTAAGGTTTAACAGGAGATCTCTTTGATCAGATAAGGAGGGATCTTTTCTCTGAGATTACCATTGCAATCCACAAATTCTAAGCCAGTGGAAAACCACAACTCAGTAGGGTGCCTAACTGCAGAGGGCTCCTTCCTGGAACAACAGCTAAGTGCATTTTCTCAGAATTCCTGAAGGGTGTGCTTTTGCGCACTTTCAAGGAACAATAGCAAGGCTTTCTCTATATAAAGGGCTTACAGCTGACTCTGTATGTTTGCTCTCAGAAATAAACTTCATCTTTGTCTCAAGCAACTGCCTGTGCATTTTATTTCCAGCTCGGAAATGAACTCGGTAAGATTTCTTTCCAACATACTTATGGCTTAGGCATCACACTAAGTCATGGTTTGTTTAGTCATAGTTTGTTAAGCCACAATTTGTTGGGTTTATACCACACTAAACCATGCACCATGTTTTATACCAGCAATGTTTAGTGCAATGTTTGAACCCTGCCAATACTTTTGCAAGAACACAATAGTAGAAGAGTATCGGGAAGTATCCTGAAGAGTATCCGGAAACTACAGCTGATGCAGAATGCGGCGGCGTGGACAGTACTGAATGCCCCTAGGAGGGCACATATAACACCGTTGTTACGCAACCTGCATTGGTTGCCAGTTTGCTTCTGGGTCCAATTCAAGGTGTTGGTCATCACTTTAAAGTGCTTCATGGCACGGGACCAGGTTATCTGAGGAGCCATCTCACCCTGGTTACTCCAGCCTGCCCCACTCGGTCCAGCAGGAGGGGCATGTTGCAGACCCTACCAGTCAAGGAATTTCAACTGGTGGGGTCTAGGCAGAGGGCCTTTTCTGCTCTGGCCCCCACCACTTAAATCCTAAATCCTCTGGTGCTTAGCCAAGCTTGGGTGCCATCTGATCCAGAGAAATCCCAGAGTCCCTAACCATACTGAGAATCCTGCTGGATCAGCAGGCTGTTAGAGAAGCTGAAATGCACAATTCTTTTTATCTTACTACTTTTTACCATCTACCTGTCATTTCAAAATTCCTTATCATTCTCAGCAACCAGGATCTCTTTCAGATGGAAAGGATCTTCATTTGCATTTCTACTGTACATGAACCTACCCGTTTTAGCTTGTCCCTGCTACAAAATCAAAAACTGTTAGAATAGACTAGAATGGTATAAATTAAGCTGCCTGTCAATGGGGTTCAAATATATATTTCTCACGATAACAGAATCACTGTATATTCCTATTATTTTCTATCACATGGAGAGTTCTACAGGAGGTTCCTCTTCTACAGGAGGTTCCTCTTTGAAGGAAGCCAGCCACCGGTTGGCCCGGTAGGGGATGAAATAATACAGGCATTAGGGACAGCCCCATTTTCTTCTCCAGAGTTTCTACAGATGGATTTAGCCATCTATCAAAGATCTGTCTCAGAGAATGATGAACAATCGTCACATCACACAATTCCAGAAGTTGCTGGAGGAACAGAATGTTGATGTCATAATTATGTGGGCCTCTAGTGGACTTTTTTTTTCAGTCTCTCTCCAGGAAGAGTGTTCAGCCTATTGTAACATACTTATTTTTGTGAAAACTCTAACAGCTACAGCCATTTTCTCTCCCTCTCACCCCACTGCACACCTTCCTACTCTGCTACCTAGAAATGATACCTTCTTCTCCAAAGACTTTTGACCTTATTGTCAGTGAATATTTCTGAACTTGCCAAGAATGCATTTAGCAAATGAATTCTGGCTTTTTTTATGTGTTCAGTATATATTGAATATCTCATTGTCAGTGAACTCAAAGTAGCACCTATGGGGTTTTTGTTTATTTTGTACTTTCCTATTACCATTTTCTTCCTCAGAATCCAGAGGGGTAAGTGGTATTTTGTGAATGTATTTTCACTTTGCCCACTACACAAAGGCATTTGTTTAAAACCCCAATGGGAAGTTCCCCATAAGGGGAGCAAGTGGTCTAAGGAAACAGAAACCTCCCTTTCAAACCCAAGACCCCAATTCTCTCATCACTAGGCCCAGTTCCATGCCCACCCCCATCCTCTGGCTCCAATGAAAAGGAAAAGCTCATCTCCAGTTAGCAGCTGATTCGAGCTCAGAGATTTTCTAGCACCAACAAGGCTTTAGAAGATTTGAAACAGGGCCTTTTTCAAAGCCTCAATGATACATGGAGGGGATTTGCAATAAGGCAGAGGTGACCACAGGAGAGGATCGAGGGGGAGCGAGTTACCAAAGCAGCATCACCCCGGCAGGATGCAAATTCCACCCCTTTTGAACATGCACTGTGATGTCACATGGATGTACAAAAGAGGTGGAAATTTCGGTCACCCTTGCATGATGCTGCTTTCATCATTTCAATAAAAGCGGTGGATCCTGCAGACACCTCCAACAAAGGGATTACCTTCTCCCCAAAAAAGAGAAGCACTGCAGTAAAGCTTTAAAGAGCTCCCACTGATTTTGCACTTGAGTTTGCTGTTCATTCATCACATTTGAAGTTTGCATATCCAAATGCAAAATGGTTTCATTTCGTTTTTCTCCCGATGGTAGTCTATTACAGCCCAAGCTGTTCACAGTGGCTTAAAGACTACAACGACTACATGTCTCAGAAATGTAGATTTTCTTTAAAAACAGTGGTTGGCTCCACTGTCTTGCAAAGAATAATGTCCAAGTATCCCCCCCAAAAAAAATTGTAAACTGAGGAAGGGTAGGGAGCCTCCTATGACAGGAAGCAACCTCACCTGTTTCCTTCTATGAAATCGGTGGCTTGCGACTGGCTGCCATTTTGTGAATGGGCAAGCCTCCCCAACATTCATTTTGTGAGACCTCCCATGACACAATCTCAGACTTTGAAATGAACCTACTGGTCCAAAGGGGTAGGAAGTCCAGCTTTAATCAATCACAATAGCTCTCTTCAATTGTAACTGGAAAAATATGCTAAAAGTAAGGAGAGAAGGAATAAATGGTCTAATGCTAACTTTCCTCTGTCACCCTTTGCGCATAAAGGTTGATTTTGTGCATCAAAGAGTCTTTTTTACCTTGCTTTTTATATGATTTAAAATTCTGATTTGCAGGGTTCTGAACTCTTGCACAGAAATTCTAGCAACACCAATTCCACCACAAATAGGGAAATGAAAACAGAAGAAGCAGAACTAGTGTGTTCATCCTTGTTTTTTTTTCCTTACATGTGATTACAGTTAGTTGAAGGGAGCTGTAGTTCTTCAAGAATTAATCTATAACATGGTGTTCATGTCCAACCGGATCAGACTGACTTCTTTCTCATAGGTCAATCTGCAGCTATATCTAAAGAGGAAGAACCTTCAAAACCATATGTGGTTGCCCTCTTCAAAAAGGAACATTTATCATGTGCAGGAACATTGATCAAAGAGAACTGGCTGTTAACAGCAGCCCATTGTTTTCCGTGAGTGTTTATGCAAAATTATTGTGCAAAATTATTCTTGCAATTGCATCAGTTTTCAGGAATCCTTTAGGCAAGCCTATTAGGCATTCTCCACTCAGATATCTAGAGTTGATTTCTAGTATAAATTGCTAGAGGCAATTTCTTGCCATAGGATTTAAGTTAACTCCAGAAAACACAATTCTTAAATATCTATCTGTCAATCAATCAAGTGGGATCAAGTAGGATAAGAAATCCCATTGTAAGTGAGACATGTGAAGTGGAAGATGACTCTAAGAACAAAACAAAGTGAGGTTCATTTTCTGACATTTTTGGAAGAGTGATGTTGCAATGTCATGTTTGTGGTCTTAGTTCTGTGGCAAAAAAATAAAATCCATTTCTGTGGCTTCATTCTATTTAAACTGCTAAATCTGTATCACTCCAAGACTTTTTTCTGATCCACAGTTAATCTTGAATGCTACAAGAACCTCTGCCATTGTGTGAATGCTAACTATGCAAATAGACCACTATTCTTGTTGTTGTTCCTGCTGTTATTGTTATTATTTAGTCTTTTCTTGGAAAGCTGTGATCTATGACTCACACAGGGCCCTTAATGGCCACTTTTGCAGTTCATTATGAAGTCCTTGATGCTCTCCAAATAACATTACTGCTATCTTTAGTAAAATATTGCTAACGTGACTCATCAAGCTTTAAGCATATTAGCGGTTCTGAAAAGACTATTCAGTCCATTAATGGATGGTACAATAAGATTTGGACTATAGCATTGCTTGAGAAAATTTCTGATAAAATTCATTGTTTGACAATGCAAAGAATCGTTATTCTACAAGGAATGGCAGGATTTTGTTTACACAATTTATAATAGTCTGTATCAGAAATGATGGGGAAGTTAAAATGTCCCAATACCGTGTAGATTTTAGATTTAATTAATACAATGGAGAAAAAAGGCTATACAGTCTAGTTAATTAGATATATGTGTGCACCCGCTGTATTACTGAACTCTTGCTTTTCACCATTTTGGAGCAAGAAACATATAAGAATTGTAGTATAACCCTAAAACAGGCTTAATTTAAACTAAAAAAAGCCTTAAGCCCCCACTCCCAAGAAAAAAAAATATCAAAAAACCTGGCCCAATTCATATTGTATCATCACTATACTAATATGGTCAATACCCATGACAGTCATAGAAAAAAATCCAAAATATTAATTCAAATCAAAGCTCATGAAAGGATTGCCTGTCTGGACACAGCCTTTATTTCTGATACTTCTGTTTAAATCACACTTTACAGTGAAGTTTAATTGTTACTTTTAATGCTGTCTTATCTGATGTTATATTACAAGATATTAGCTCTTGTAGCCTACTGTACCAGTAAAAAAAATTAAAGTGAAGCAATTTTTCAGAAAGCTAGATATTCAATATTTTAAAAAGTTTGCTTATGTTTCAGATTATGAAATATCCTCATTCCTTGGTTTAACCACCACAAGAAACAATAAACAATATTCTCCATTATGATAGCCCTTGGTTTAGCTGGACTACAGATTCCAGATGCTTGGAGTTGTAATCCCCCATACACATGTGGTTGTCATTATGTTATGTAAAGTTGGAGTGGAATTTCAATCCTCGAAAGGTGTTGTGGGGAAGATGCCCAAAGAACAAGGTTGTATGCAAGTAGGAGGAAGGACATATATAAGAAAACAAATATTACTATGGTGAATTACTATATACTCTTACTTATCTTTTTAGGAATGAAGAAATACTTATCGGTGTTGGAAAACGACCCAGAATTAAAAAGGAAGGAAGATATTTTATAAACATTACTAAAATATTTTTTTACCCAGGGTTTAATCCAAAAACATTTGAAAATGACATTATGCTTTTGAAGGTAAATCTATAATTTGATTATGAATGTTCTGAGAGCAAACTATAGCACCGTGTTTATCAAGATGAGCATGCTCCTTGACCAGTATATAATTAAAATTAATATCTGAGACTGAACTTTAGAATTCTGGGAGTTGATGTCCACACATCTTCAAGTTGCTAAGACTGAGAAACACTGCTCAAGAGAGTTTTGATTTGTTCAGACTGCAAAATAATCTCTTCTTGCGAATGCATCAAGAGCTGAAATTCCTGGGCAGTTTTTAAGAGCAGACTTTTTCACATGGTAGGCCTGCCAAAACTCCACTATCAGGAATGTTGTTTCATAGGCCTTCTCACCTTCCCTTAGGCAGGCATTCAATAGTGATGATTTACAGTTATAATATGGTGAGCATTCTGGGGATATTAGAAGTATTTCTCTGAAACAATATTTACTTTTTTCTGGGAAAACATCCATATGCTATCTGGATCCAGCTGTAAACTCCACCAGTTATTTTAGAATGTGTTATAAGCCAGGCAGGGGAATTCGTGGGCTGTAGGCCAAGCACAACGTTCAGAATTTCCATTTTACCTATGTCAGTGTTGTCCAAACTTGGCCACTTTAAGATGAGTGGACTTCAACTCAACCCCATGCTGGCTGGGGAATTCTGGGAGTTGAAGCCCACTCATCTTAAAGTGGCCAAGTTTATTTACTTTTTTCTGGGAAAACATCCATATGCTATCTGGATCCAGCTGTAAACTCCACCAGTTATTTTAGAATGTGTTATAAGCCAGGCAGGGGAATTCGTGGGCTGTAGGCCAAGCACAACGTTCAGAATTTCCATTTTACCTATGTCAGTGTTGTCCAAACTTGGCCACTTTAAGATGAGTGGACTTCAACTCAACCCCATGCTGGCTGGGGAATTCTGGGAGTTGAAGCCCACTCATCTTAAAGTGGCCAAGTTTGGACAACACTGACCTACGTCCTTCCATAGCTCAATATTTCCCAGTTTCTGTCATTTCACCTGTCCCGGGTATTAAGGAAGAGGAATGATTTTATCTCTGACCTGTAGCAGAAAAGAGTTACTTATCTCAGCACTGGAATATGAGAATTACCTCCCATCTCCTGCAGACCCCAAACAAGCCCTTTTGCTTTATTGCAGTAGGAAGTACTCAAATTGGTAAGAAAAGAAGATCCACTTCCCACAAATCTAAGCTGGATTAGGGAGTGATATTATCTGATCTAGCCAGTATTAAAAACTGTTAATTCAAACAAGCTATGTTTATTCTTTCCCAGCTTCATATTATGGAAAAGAAGCTTAAAATGAAAACCATCCCACTTCCTGACCCTACCAATGATATCAAAGTAGGAACTCCCTGTACAGTCACAGGATGGGGAACTATCAGTAAAAGAAGGAGATTTATGACACTTCATGAAGCTAATGTCACCATCCTTGACAGAAATATCTGCAATGACAAGAAACATTATAATTCTCATCCATTTTTGACAACAAAGATGGTGTGTGCTGGGGAGAAGAAAAGAGGGAAGGATTCCTGTGTGGTAAGATAACTTGGGCAGATTTGAAATTCGGGTCGCTTGCCAGGTAAAATGGCCACTTCCACAGACCCCAGGAGGTTTGTGGGATGGGGTCAAGTAACCCACTTTTTCAGCTGTGGCCTCCATTTTATGAACACTGCCCCCAGAGGTAGGAATGGCCCCTACTCTACAAGTATTTTGCAAACAGGCTAAAGCAGCCTTGTTCCGGCAGGTGTGTGGCCCTTAGGCTGAGTGAATGGTGCCTAGGCTTCCTTGTTGTTCATTGTTATGGTTTATATCTTTTTTCAATGTTTATTGTACTCTGCCCAGAGTCCACCAGAATTGCAGGAGGCTCTAAATATGGTTAAATAAATATACGATAGGAAATACCAGGTCAAAAATGAAAACAAAAGAGTTGATACAAATTTGTATCAAACATGTTAAACATTCCTTTATATAGGAAGATATATCCTTACAATAACACTGCTAATTTAAATGGAGAGAATTACTGTATCACACTGGGGAAGTGTGTGACTCTGGGATCTTTGGGCAGTTGGAGTGCAGACAGTTGATGGGCAGCATCAGGTTCCCACTCTCTCTTCTTACAAGTTTTTTTTGTTTGTTTAATTTTTAAATTGGACTTGGATCTGAGAGCCCTTCAGATATAAGACTGTCCTCTGTGAAGTAGAGGGAATAGTTTTCTTTTGCTGATCAACTGAAGGAGGTTTAGTCATCTGTAGGGAGTCCTAGAGAGGAGGACCTTAGAGAAACTGTTCAGAAACTGTTACGGCAACATGTGGAAAGACATGGTTTGAGCCGAGGACAATGAGAAAGTATTAGAGGAAAACCAGAATGGTTCCTCCCTGGCCCCCCAGGGTAGAAGAGGGAGGAAAGGGAAAATGCAAGATTCTGTTACTAGAGCCTACCTCAATGAAGTATAGCTCTAGTCTTCTTGTGGAGTCGTTTTCCTGATCTAGTCACCCTCAAAGGGCTGACGCCATCTGGCTCTTTGGCTGATGGATCAGCAGGAGTGTCCATTGCAACAGTCCCTGGTTTCAAAACAGTGGATCCAACCAGGAGCTTGAAGCCCCACCCTTTTTACCTGTGTGTAGTGTGTGTGACATTGCTCATTAAAAAGGGGCAGGGCTTTGATCACTTGGCCATGCCTGCCATTTTGAAGCCAGTGACACTTGTTGCAGGTTCCTCAGAATCTGTTAAATTAAGAACATAAAACTTTACACCCTCATTTATGACATGATAGTCAGTCTTAGGCACAGGCAACTTTTTTCTTCTGGCAGTGAACTTTTAAAATTATCATTTTCTCCAAGGACCCCAGAAGTGGTGCAGAGATATCATCAGTGTAAGAGAGGCGACATTTTCTGCCCTTTTTAATTTTTGTAGGAGTGATGAGATTTATGCAAAATAAATTATTAAGCTTCTCTGAAGTTGAATACATTTAAATTGTTAAAAAATGAATAAAAATTGTACCAGTCAAAGGTGTTATTTTGCCATTGAATGTCAACTGTGTGATCCTAGGGGAAGCAAAATTAGACGTGGGCTCATCTAACTGCTCATTCTATTATTTCTTCTGTATACATCAGCAAAGCTATCTTTTAGCTTTTGCAAATTGTAACACTGCTGTCTGTCTTTTTTCTCAGGGTGATTCCGGTGGGCCTTTGATATGCAGTGGGGAGCAAAGAGGCATCATCTCCTATGTTAAAAAATGTGATAATCCCCAATACCCTGGCATCTATACTCAGCTTACAAAGACCTATATCTCCTGGATAAAGACGATCACAGATGGAAATTCACAGACTGAATGATACTCGAGGAAGCTTTTCTTTTAGCTTGTGACTGCTTAATTGTCAATTTTCCCATCTCTGTTCCTGCATTGTAGCTTCCATTTTTACAGATGGAAAAGAGAGTGATGGTATCTCACTCAATACTAGCTATACCCGCTTTAGACTCTATACTATAAATGCTTGAGGTTGGTCCTGAAGCTCAACCTCTCCAGACCAGTTTCAATTTTCAGTCCATTGGTACTAAGGTAGGCTTCTATTCTCTGGCAAAGAATATTTTTACAAAAAGTATACGCTTTGGGTATGAAATAGAGATTCAGCATAGCAAATTTATTGGCCTCCAGCTTTTGTATTACTTTCTCACTGAAAAACCTACCCAGTCCTAAGGTAGTTTTCCCACCAAAGTCACTGGCAGCAAATTTGTTGGTTCCAGTAAACTGTCTCTTCAGTGTCATTTGCAGAACCAGAAACATTTGGTTGAAAAATATGAAATACACAGCATGATACTTCGAGTAAGTGAGGTACAAGGTACACTCAGGGTAAATGGAACATCAATACTTAACTAAGATAAAGTCACATGGATTCATGGCTCAGGTCCATAAAACATTTCACTTCCAAGCATCAGGCTCCTCAGGCTAAATGTAGTTTTCTCTCAAGAATTTAGTGAGAAATATTCCCAACACCACTTTATCTTTCATCTGTGCTCCTCACACTACCATGAAGAAGAGAAATCGTGACTTCCTGGAACTGGGATGCAGCTTTTCAGCCACATAAAGAACCATGATCAAAAGTGTTCCTTGACACCCTCAATGAATGTGGCATTTTCTTTTAGGGCTCCACTGGATCTTGGCCAGTGAGTTAACAAATGCTTCTGTGCAGAATTAGGTGCTCCATAGTCCACTGAAATGAGGAGATTTAGGAGGCTGTTCCTGGGAGGGATGAGCGAAGAACACCAGTAGTGTACACCAAGAGTATATATTCCCAGCAGGGTCACCCAAGGCATGAAGGTCATCCCAGTGGCTCAGCCAAAGCAAGCAGGCACCTATATTGGACAGCAGTGATATAGGAAGGTGCTAGAGGTAGATGATTACTACAATGGCAACAGGAAAAGCATCTTCTCATACCACATGGGAGAAGGCAATGAAAAATCATTCCTGTATTTTACCAAGAAAACCACATGGATAGACAAGATAGTGTCAGGATCCCCGCAATTAATCATCAACTAGGTCCAGCTAGAAGAATTGTTAGAGATGATGATGATGATGATGATGATGATGATGATGATGATGATGATGATATAAAGTGACTGACAATACAGTGCCACATGATGGGCCTCTCAGTTCAGATGGCCCTCCCTCTCTCCATAGCACTGAAACCTGGTCAGTTTTGTGGGATATGCTTAGAAATCACATCTGGAGGATAGCGTCAGGTGCAACGCTGAGGGGCAGGCGCTGCAATCCACAGTCCAGTACTGTAGATATTCAATATGTCCAAGAAGGGTTTGCAATCCAAAGAAAACAAAAACAGCTCTGGACTTAGGTGATCACCTGAACTGGCTCTTTTTTACAACTGAATCTTCCCTCCCTCCACCCCTTGGTTTCATATCTGTTTAACTGGATGTTGAAGTAAAAATAACATGTGAAAACTTGTAGAATGTCACACATTAGAAATGCATCACATAGCATATTATGATATTCCATGACATATTTTTAATACATCCTATCTCCGGAAAGTTCAAAACATTGCAACACAGCCACCCACTAATTTCCATCCCAAGTTTTCAACAGTCCTGTGAGGTAGGTTAGGTTGAGAGATGGTGACTGACCCAAGATAAGGTTCATGCTTGAGTGAACTTTTGAACCAGATTCTTTCTCATATGGTTGCATGCATATGGACAATGTTCACATCACATGCTTTGTGTAATCATTGAATTGACAGACTTTTTCTGGGTTTGTACAATGCATGAAACCATAAATCAAACAAGCAGACAATCCCATCTTGGGGGATGGGGGAGTCAAAATTTGCAAGATGATGGGCACATAGCATTGTAATCAAAGCCCTGTATGTGCCTGATGCTGGGCATCAGTCATGACACTATGCCTGCCATCTTGCAGATTTTGATTCAACCTTCAGATTTTGCTGGCTGGTCCATCATTTAAGCCAATCATCATCATCATCATCATCATCATCATCATCATCATCATCATCATCGTCATCATCATCATCATCCAAGTTAGCATTCAGCAAGCTTAGGACATTGTCCAAAGGGATCATGTAAAAAAGCATATTGTATGAATCCAGTCCATGGAGTGTGTGTTTCATGGCATGCATAGCTTTCTATGTCCTATTACAATCCTTTGTAGCACTCTGTGCTACCTTACTGCAAAAACCAACACAGAGATCATGGATCTTTATCAAAAGAAGCAGCTGCACTTCAAAAGGTGTCACTGGCTTACTGACACAATCCCATATTTCCAGACACAGGCTATGCCATCAGCTGCAGCAGTAAAAATTCTGTTTCCTTCTGGGGTCAGTGCCATATGCAAAATTCTTCAATTGTGACCTACAATTGGAGAAGAAAAAGAAGGAAGAGGGACAGCACTGCAAACCATCCTGGATCAAGTGCAGAACTGGTAGAAGGTAGCCATTAGGCTCCATATGCGATGGTACAGTGATGAGATTTGGGCTGCAAATCTGGGTGACCTCTAGAGGGCAAAAAGGAGCTAGAGTTTCCTGCATCTTTTCCCTGCCATTTAGCAGTATTCCAGATTTTTGCAGCTCAGCTGTGGTAGCCCAAGGCAATGGTCTAGCTATAGGGCAAATTCCAGGGCCCCATAAACTAGGGCCACTCAAATGATCTCCAAGGGACCAGCAGGTAATGGAGTCAGCAGTCAACTCTGTTCCTGGGTTTGCATGAACATCCAGTTGGACTTAGGTAAGATCCTTTTCCATCTTATTTAAAAAGGAAACAAGTTTTATTGATGGAGTAGGCACCGAGACATATACATAATTGTAGGTGTTAATTTTATTATTTATTTGGTATAAGTATTTGTCTCTTCAATAAAACATTTTTTATTCTCAAGTAGCATACATGATGTCCAAAGAGACCCTAATTGAGAATAAATAAATAACCATTTAAACCCAGTGTCTAAAATTACCTATTAAGTACAATACATTTGTCAGCCCTCATGAACTGAATATGCAAAATACCTTGCAATCAAGCATTGGTCCCACTCAGAAAAAAATGCTTCACATGAATGACCTTTGGGCAACATCTGCTAAGAGCACCCACACAAAGTGAGAGCTCTTCCTCATTTCTCTTTTATTCCTTCTCAGACTTTAAGTTTCAAGCAGCTTCTGCTCTTCTGGTATACGGAACTATTCAATATATGGAAGAACACCTGTAACAGGTGAATGCATTGGGCTGAAGGATGCACTGCAGAAACCTTATGCGTTCACCTGAGATCCACAGTGTGCAGTTTCAAGCTGCTTCAAGTTGTTTGTGTTCCAGATGCGCAAACACTGATCCTTCACTTCTCCTCCAGTAGCAATGACTGCAGATTGCCATGGATACCACATCATAGCCTGCTGAAGCAGCACCAGAAGCAGCAGGGTCACTTTTTAATGCAAGTTCTCTGGTCCTGGACAAATGCTATTGCAGAAAAGTTCTACAGAAACCTTCCCCATCTGGTGCCCTCTAGCTGCGTTCAAACGGTCTAAGATGAAGTCCAGTACATCTGGAAGGCACCAAATTAGAAAAGTGCACATGTATTCCCTACTTTGTATAATAGCAATTTCCAGCTGGCCACACTAATACAAAACAGTAATATGTATTCTGACTGAACATAAATAATGAGTTGCACTCAAAAAGAGCAGAAGCATAATTTGGAGACGGTCATAGAATCATCATAGCAATTGGAAGTCCAAGTGACTTCCATGGCTAGCAGTGTCTATTGCCAGCTTCAATCGGTACACCATCTATCTCCTTTTCTGTACAGGGACTGCACAAATGTACTGGTCACATCACTTTTAGATTACAGTGATATACTCTGTTTGTGGCTACTTTTGCACTTGGTCTGGAAGCTGCAGCTGGTATGGTGGCCAGGTTCCTGAGTGATGCACCTGGCCATATATCTCCAATGAAGCAATTGCAATGGCTGACATTTAACAGCCTGTAAGTCAGATTCAAGGTTTTAGTTAGACATATGAAGTTCTCAACAATTTGGGACCACAAAATCTGTCAGGCAGGCCTTCTCTGTGGTGAACTTCATGTTCTAGAATGCTCACCACTGAAATTCAGAAGGCACCTACCACCTGTTCCAAACAGTATAAAACAACATTACCTTGCATTTTGCTTCTGTTTTTATTGTAAATTACTTCAGGTTGCCTTATCATAGGAAGCAATATACAAACATATAAATACATAAAAATTTTAAAATCAGATTTCATCTTTAATCATGGTGCATGGAGGCCAATGGCCTTCCCTACATTATCCCACTGAGATCATCAGGCCAGATATTCAGTAGGCCATCACTAGAACTACAAGCTAATAGTTTACTATCGGGGGACCATCATAAGCCACAAACACTTCATTTGCTTTGTTCAAGCATCCCAATGTGATAATGAGCTATTCGGATATTGTGATGACAGATATATCCTAGCATTGAGCCACTGTGGATAACAGCAGAGATCATCATTTACTATGAAATAATTTTATATCCAATATCAACCATTTATAAGCCTTTGGTAAATATCACATAGGCACACAGCAAGGAGAGGCCCCACAAACATTATTAAATAAACAATATAGAGATATTAAATTGGCCTAGAATCCTCCCAATATATTGAACTGCAATTCCCATCATCCTGAGCCAATACATTCTCTTCTCTATATTGCCTTCCTTCTCCCATTCTGGAGCAGCATGAGAAGGAGAATAGGATACAAAACTTAAGAAAGAACTGAAAAACATTGTTAACAGGATGAGGTGAGTAACAAGGAAATTCAGCATATTAGACTGGGTTCATTTTAATTGCCATAGATCAATACATGCTAACTTTTAGCTGCTTTTGAATTTGCAATGTGAAGTCTAAAACCCTGCTGAAAAATGAAACTAATATTCAGAGTTGTTGTATGAATTAATGGTACATGACTCATCTAAAGACAAGTAAAAATTATTCTAACAAGCTTAACCTCAAATGCCATTTTTTGAGGCTACACTTCTTTCCAGACACTCTAATAACAAAAGTGCCATTTAACTATTAACTGTCTAGATCATAGGTTAACACTAGACTTTAACACTAAGTAGCCAGCCACCTCAGACCAAAACTTTTATTGTATAACAAATACTTTGATGTAATCTGCAGTAGCTTCTTTTTTTTAATGTTATATTCAACTTAGGATGAAAAAGTCAATTGATTTTATGTTTGCAATACTGACATCTTACATTGTTTAATTAAATAAATGTATTTATTTCCAATACTCTAAGTTATCTAAACAATAGAATGTCAATCATTTTAATTAATATTGTATAAATATCACTGTATTGAAACAAGATCATGTATCAAGATTTACAACAAGATAATAATAAAGAAAAAAAGTATTATTTAGTGGTGTGGCACCAATGTTCATCTCAACCTCTTCTAACCTGGCATGTGACCACTTACCCTGTCTGGATACAGCAGTCCAGCAGTCCAGTAGCTCTTAAAATAAAAACAGTTTCCTAACTTCCTGTCTGCTCCTAGATCCACCACCAGATGTTTATCCATTCGTTCTGGCCTTCTTTTCTCTTGCATTACAGTACTTCCCATCCCATAATCTTTGCTCCTCTGTCTTCACCACCCTTATGATCCACAGTTCTCTGCCATTTCTCCTTCTGGTTGCCTCCCAGATCAATTATATTATGCAATATTTTTCTTTGAATACCACTGAAAGTTCATCTGTTCCCTTTGAGCACAACATGATTCCTTACAGGCTTTTTCCATCTAGATACATCTTTGTGCTAGAACATTTTGCTAGATAGGCCCTATCTCAGTCTGACTTCTTGCTTTGAATTCTGAACTTTCTCCTTGATTGTTGCATGTTATCCACATACCAATTTAGAATTACTAATTACTCTCCCCAAAAACTTCTTATATTTAAGACAAAAACTACAAATTTATTTTAATTATAAATTTATAGGTAAGGTTTTCCCTACTGATTCCTTTAAGAGGCTGCAACTGATAATGCTTGGTTTTCTATGAATGTTAAAATGTACACAGACTATTTCAAAGTCTAGAATGGAAACCTTACGTCAAAGAAAGATTGGTCTTCTTCCACAAACTTCCACAAGTGATGGTAATATAGAAGAAAATGGAAAACTGCTCTGAATCCAAAATTATATATTAAGAATATTGTCCGTGGTACAATGCGCTAATAAATATTTGCAACACATAACATCTTCATAAGAAGAGGAGTAATGATATTGAAAAGGCAGTAGTCTGTGAAATTAAGTAACATGACTTCGCTGAGGTATTAATGACATCACAGATTCAGAGGTGTTTATAAATGGTGGTTCAAGTCACTTAAAGACACTGGTTTGGATCCTGAGGCAAATGAATAAAAGAAAGCTCACGTAAGTTTCATGGACACCTATCTCTCTCCCCCA